ACTAGTATTCCAAACAAATGGTACAGAAAATTTCGGTTGTTTCGGGAAAAACGGAAAAAAGGTAATACTTCGAAAGGTATTACTTTTTTTCCGGAAAATTTCCACCGGGCTGAACCGTTCCATTTGAATTCTCCCCGGAATTTCCGGGTTTTTCATATAAATGGTAAGCGCTCCTTGTTTGAGTCACAAACCTTAATAAACTGTGTTTTACATGCAACTGGTCACAGGTTTCTAGAAAGAGAATGAAACTATTTGCATATGAAAAACAGGAAGTTTCGTAACATGACAACTCCCTTCCATTTAAAGCCAAGGCACTGATCACACAACGATAAAATGGCCTGGACCCATTTGTTCAAAGGTTAAATAGCGCTATCTAGCGGATAAATCATTATGCAGTGGACAAGTATTAAGGGAAACCAATTGCGCTATCCAATATATGGCGATTTATCCGGTCGATAACGTTATCCACCTTTTGTACAACTATGGCCTGTTGAGGTGGTTATTAAAATATGAATATAAAGAGAGTTCTTTGTTTTATAGGACCAAAAGTAACAATCTGCGTTAAAATTGTGTGAAATCATGTGTTATTTTTCTCAGTTTTGTGAATTGACGTTGATTAACCCGGGAATAATAATAGGGACTTAAAGAACTTGCGCTCTTTCAGTCTTTATCGCGATTATTCGTACCCACTTACTTTGTCAAATGTAGGCGAACCCTCCTGAAGTTGAATTCCAAGGGACCATATCCACGTTCAGAAAGAGAAATAAAATTTCATCGGTGCTTGTTTATGTTCTCCATAAAACGCGAATTAGGCATTTTCACGTTGTAGTCGTGCAACAGCGGCAAAGAAATGTACAAAAAAAGAATGATGGACGTGCAAACTTTTTGTTGTTTTGCTCATTGAACATTGTTTTTGACGTTGCGTCGTTGGCTGAAAACCCGTTCAACCTAGCTAGCCTGCGTTCTGGTTCATCGGTTAGTAAAGTAAGAGAAAGCTGCGGGTTTTTAGTGTGTTTTTTCTTTTGTGGTTCGAAAAGTAAGATGAGTTACAGAGAAAACTCTTTGATGATATCACTTTTAAATACCCGATCGTTACTAATCTCAATATAATAGATAAAACTTTGTTTCTTCTCAATAATGTAGACCCATTCATTTGTAAATTTCGACGCTGATTTAATTCGGTGATTCCACTTTTGTCGCCATAAATAGCACGGCAAAAGGACTCCAACTGCGTGAGGAGATCTTGTGATGTACACCAGTCTTTAGGCCGTTCACAGTCCCCTATTTTTTGGAGGATCGTCATGATTGATAGTCTCCTTCGCAGCCGTTATTAGGGTCGTCACGCAACGCTCCTCCCCAATAACGACCCTAATAACGGCTGCGAAGGAGACTACATGATTGAGCGCTTACCGGTTCGGGCGGCCATCTTGGTTTCATACGTACCGAGGGGGCGGCCCCCAAAGTAGATTTGACACTCATGATCATCCAAGATGGCCACCCGTGACATAAAGTCTTCGATCTCGACGATCTTAAGGAAAAATAGGGGACTGTGTATAGTCTAACCAGTCTTTGTCTGTCACCTTGCTAAAAGATTTACTGATACTAATTGTCAGGTTGGACGAGGCAGTTTGAAAGTTCTCAGATGCCAATTCCATCGAAAGCGTGCATTTCGGGTAGGGCCTTACACATGTCATAGTCAATGGGGCTGGCAACCTGGTGGATGTCGGTGTAACGTGCGTGAAATTGTAAAATTAAAGTATCAGTGGAACATTTGGTACGTTAATCTTGTATAAAAAAGCAAGATAAACGGTGATGGAGCATCTGGGCCATCTGAAGAGCGATGATACCTTTAATTTTAAGAGTAGTTTTGCCATGCTGCCAGCATGTAGAATTGACTATTCATGCTGAGATGTCCGCTTGTTCTTGGCTGTGACCGTTTTGTTTGTTCTTTTGCCTATTCTTGTCCTTCGTGAAATACCCTAGACTTGCTGTCTCTGCAAAATGAAGTCTTACTAAATTTAATTTTTCTCAAAAAAGTAGGGGGGACACACGGCTTACCTCCCCTGCTCCTACTCCTACGACAATGACGTGGCTGTGCCTTAGCGATCTGTTTTGAGCCGCGAATTCTAGATTTCGAGTTGTACTTACAATGATAAGTATCTTTTAATCTAAAACTCGGCAAAACGTCTTTGAAATAGCTTTAAAGGAGAACACAGACAATTGAAGACACAACAAAAGACACAAGGTAATACGTTCTTTGGCTTGTTTCGTTGTTTTTATCATTATTACTCTTACTATTATTTTGTAATAATCGTTGAATGCAAGATGAAACAGATGCGAACAAATAGCAGGGCAAGGCACCGCATTTTATCCCTTGAAAACCTGTACTTTTTGGGGGGAGGGGGTCACTGAAGAGCATTTTAATGAGGTCAGTCATAAATTATTCTTTTAAACTGAAAAATTCTCGTAGCCCCCCACCACCCCATAAATTATGAACGCTCCTGCCTCAGGTTCCTAACACGATCAATATGTCAATAAAAAAAAGCCAAAAGTTTCGAAAAAGTTAACGCGAGTTAACATTAAAGTGAGTAAAGTACAGCTTTCCTTGAGTACATTAGTTCGTACGTCGTTCAATTTACCAAAATTATTGGAATGCGAGGAAGTTATTTTGGCAGTTGGGAAGAAATTTTGTGGCTGCAGGAGCCGATTACTTGTGGCTGCTGTCTTTGTAAAGAGATGTAAAGAGGTTACAGTTGAGTGATAGAGAGATTAATAGGGAATGTCCACAGGGACAATAAACAGTGGCCGTTGTACAGAGATGGGTGTTAGTAAATGTCCGACTGTGGCTTGGAATTACAGTATTAGTCTGTCCCAGGCTCTCAGATAGTGGAGACGTCGCGAAAACGATGTTAAGGGAACTATAGGCCGCGTGCATGCGCGTGTTCTAAGTACAGTAAGTAAGGGGGTGGTTTCCTCTGTTCCCTGACCCTTTACGTTTTTAGCATGAGTTTTCACGTTCTTTGCACACTACTGCCTGGGACTCTGGAACAGGCTATTACGCTTTATTGAAACGAAATTTGTATGCAAATGCATTATTATTTCGAGTGACAAATGGAGTGAAACAAGCCTGATCGCATCCATGTTGGATAATCCCCCGCGGGGGGCACTTGTGTATTTTTGGGGTGGGTATGTGCCGCCCGGTACTCCAATTTGGCACCCCGTTCTAAAAAAAATTTCCCCTAAAATTGATACCCAGTTCTAGAAATGGGCCAATTTTTTATACCCTGTTCTAGAATTCGCCCTAAAACTGATACCCCGTTCTAGAAATGGGCCAATTTTTTATACCCCGTTCTAGAGAGTTTGTAAATTGAAAGGCTCCTGAAAAAGCCCTGTTTTTTTAAAAAAGATATTTCTTTATTTGTTCGACTTAAACATCAAATAAATGGTTCTTCATAATCAGCAACAATTTTAAGCAGGAGATAAAGCCGTGTTCCACATTCAGCGCTCGCGGCTCGCGCTAAAATACGCACGCCCTACAACAGTTTGCTTGTTGACACATTAAACCGCATTTTTAAAAGCAATCTGTCCTTGTCCTCGAAACATTATACCCAAAATCACGAGGATGTGATACTTAAAGAGGAAGAGGAGGCGTAGTTTTATATGTAAAATGTCTGCGATCGAATATAACAATTTATTGCGCCAAATCAGCCAAAGACTCGACGACATAAATGCAGGCCAGCAATTACTTGTGATATCGAGGGGAATGTTGGCGGCTCGTAATGAAGAAAGCATCCCTACCTTGTCGCTGTTTTTAGAATTAGAGGAGAATGGATTTCTGGGTCCCGATCGTCTAACGGTATTGAAGGCCATTTTAAAAGCCGTCAAGGAATGGGCTTCTCTAGAAAAGGTTGAAACGTTTGAGCGCAAAAGGAAGGAATACAAAAACTTGCTTGAGCAGATTATACGAGAACTCGATCTCGACGAGCTTAATGATCTGGAACGACTCATCTCGATTTGCAAAGGAAATATCACAGAAGAAAGACGAGCGAGCATCCACGATGTTAGATCATTGTTTAAGGAGTTAGAAAGCAAAGACTGTCTTGGAATCGACCGCCTCGAAATCGTGAAGGAGATTTTGATCCAGACGGAAAAAACCGATCTGCTTAAGGAAGTGGAAGAGTTTGAGCAACGACAAAGTCGTGAAAGTAAGTTTGAAAGGCGAAAAGGTATTTCTCCGGGTTTACCTCGGTGTAAAAACCTGTAAAGTTTTTCTTTGGTTTCTAGCTATTATTTTCCTTGCCTCTATTGCATGACTTGTCGGTGGCCTGTTTGTATTCATTGTTTTACGTAACTCGTGAGTTTCACAGATTTTTACACTGAGGATGAGCGGCCATTTCTCCATGCCCGTTAAGGTTTAAATTTCATTACTTCCCCTAAGCACCAGTTTGCATTGTAAATTGTAAATTAATGTAACGATACTTAGCTTTGTCTGCACCCTAAATATTACTTGGTCTTTCAAGTATCTGAATTTTGTACGTTTTATTTCAGCATAAGCGGTGATATTTGGCATAAATACCACGAGTGATATTTCAAAATTGTTATACGTAGTGAAATTTGAGACTATTTTGAAATATCACGAGTGGTATTTATGCTACGTACAAATCATGCTATTATTTGTTTATACCGCTACATGAGAAATTTTTGGTAACGCCATCCGTTTATTTTGTGACGCGTATTTTGATTGACAGTGTACAACATGTGATATCATGTGATCCAAAATCCAAACTTACAACAAGATCGATTGCAAACACATGTAAAGAAAGAACACCAAAGTTAATCAAAGTTTGAGTTTTCGAAAGTTTGTCTCAATGAAAGTCGTTCAGAATTAGATTTTAACATCTACTGCTGCTGATCGGCGTTTCCAAGCTTGCTTGCGATGTTATAATTTATAGTAACTTGACAGCCATGGAAATGGTTAACGGTCGACGACCTTTCATCGTCATGAGGAAAGTGTTCGCCACAGCTGTGTTTACAGCGTCTAATCTTTCAAGCGGTTGACGAACTCTGCTGGATTGTGCCGTTGCACACTCTGCACTGATGATTGAAGAAATGAGTTGCTGTTCTTTCTCATCGCCTTCTCCATAATCTGCAAGGGACCTTTCATTGGTATGGCCTGTCACGCCAATAATCGCTAACCGCGGTTGATTTGCAGCTTTCAACTTCTTCACCAAGGTTTTGCGAACACTGTGGTTTGTGAGCTTTTTGCCTTGTATGTCTGCTTGACTTGCCATATTCTTCATAAAGGAATTAATGCTGTTGACGCCCATTCTTTGACGCTTATGCCACACTTGGGTCTTTGGTCGTTCATTCAAGGCAAGATAGAATGGACCACTGTTTCGCATTTCTTCGGGTCTTCGTTCCAAAAATTTTTTGAACAATTTTACAGGGCATCTCTGGTCCGTGTGGTTTTCGTCCATTTGATTTTTATTCCAAATTGAAAATTGAAAATCAAAAATTCACAATCGTGATTTTCAATGTTTGATTCCTCAAGAATTGAAAATCACAAATTTACAATCTCAATCGTCAATTTTTGTTTCTAAGAAACAAGAAATTGGAAAACAATTTCAATATCTTGAAAATCAAAAATCAAAAATTGAAAATGGCCAGGTGGCGGCTTTCATTTCTTGTTTTTAAGGAAAAGGAAAACTAAACGATAATCTTTAATTTTGAGATTTTTGCCTGGTACCGAAGTTGAAAATGTATTTTCAATTTCCACTTCCCTAGATTCCAGCTTATTAAAAATTCAAACTTGACAAAGCTATTCATGTGTAACGAAACTGCGGGAAACAGTATCAATGCTGATGAAATCCGAAATGAAAATCGTTTTTTGATTTTCGTATTTGAGAAAAAATAAAATTGCCAACCTACCAAAAATATCTGTGACGGGAAGGGAGGGTAAAACCGGAAGTGGCGCGAATCAAAGCAAGATGGCGCTCCTCTGGTCCCCAAAGGGATGATACGTGTCTTCGTCGAGCTGTCTCTAGAGGAAATGTTACGCCAACAGCAATCCGAAGTCTGCCTGTACCATGGCCAAGAAGTTTTCAAAGAAATGGGCTGAATGTTTCTTTCACGGTAAGTATGCTTTTGTTTTAACATTAAACATCCAAGGCAACGCTACGCAGGGTAGAGAGTTTTAGTTCTGTAACGCAATTGGTTTCCTCAATACTTATCCGCTTGGTAGTAACTGCAGAATACCCAGCCCCTTGTCCGAACGCCTTAAAGAACGAGGCATAAACACAATAGTTTCTTGTGTTATTCAACGAGATGCAAGTAAGTGGCCGGGTAGTGCTATCCAACGTTTGAACAACCGGGCCTGGTAGTTTTAAAAATGTGTCTATAGCAGGCGAGAACTACTGGCGGCGGAAACTGAAGTTTAAGGAGTACGTGTCTTTCCTACAGTTTGATTCTACCGAAAATAAAATGTTTTGTATCAGAGAGGTTTTGTTAATCAATATTTTGCTAGTTTGCAGTCCTCTTGTCTCCCTTGTATGCTACTTCTCTTGTGATTCTGCTCTCCAGACCATGTAGTGTAAAATTTCTTTATTGAGGAGGGCCGATCGTTTGCCTAATGAAAGCATACTTAGATTTACCCATTTATCCTAACCAATCAGCTTCCGTATGCCCTTGGCGGGAGTGCTGTTGTAATCAAACGATGAAACGATTATACACAGTGAATAAATTCCATGTTTGTTGAATCGTTTTCACTTTATTAAGCCCAAAAACTGGAACAATGTTAGGCACAGTGTAGAGATTATATATCAACCCTCACCCCCCCCCCCCAAAAAATGTAAAGCATGTGATTTATAAACGCTGACCCTTGCATCAACCAAATATTTCACATATATTAAAATTATCTTTCACGTTCTGATTCAGCTGTTGAATTGAATGAGGGAAATTTGATGAAGTACCTTGCAGAAAAAATGGGTGAACAAGAAGCACCTGTCAGTGGTTTTCCTGTTCAGACTCAGAAGCTGCTACTGAAAAGTCCGTGCTAAAGAAATGGTACACTTGAACTGAAAAGTATGGAGGACCTGTACTTGATGGCAAAATACAACTATATGATTGAGTACCTCCAGGAATTGTACTCTACTTTGCATTCTTTAAAGCAACTGAAATCTCACCCCTCATGAAGCATAACAACACAATGGAACAGAAAGATGAATGATGAAAAATGAAACAAAATGAATATGGTTGAACCTAAGAATTTTGTCCACCAGATGATAATGGATCTGTTCCAAACGGTGGTCAGGCATGCATTACTCAAATGCCCTGAAAAAATTAATTTTGCAGTTGTAATGTTTGTGAAATGTTGTACTTTGGGCCAAGAAGAGCCCTTTTTTAGGGGGAGGGGGGGAAGGGGAAGGGGTTTTTTGCACAAAAACTATATTTTTTACTATGTGACAAAAATATTTGAAATTCAATGTCCTGTAACTCAATATTTTCTGACTTTGCTGAGAGCACCTACAGTAGCTCATTCATGTTAACACAACACTAGAGAACAACAGGTTCTATTGTTTCTGGGGAACAGTTGTAAAAAGGCATCAGTTAGGGGCTTGCCCTAGAGTGCCAGTATCCAGGAACCCATAAAAACCTTGGGACATTTGCCAAGATTGCAAGAAGATTCTTGCTCAATGTACTGGTGGTGTGATATCCAACTGATCTCTTAGTTTTATCACAGGTACTGTTACTCACAACAGGTGGGGCTTGATCTCCTTTTGATTGGGCATTTAAGCAAATCTCCAAGGGTCTCCAGGGATGCCTGTTGCACTCAAAGGAAGCTGCTCATTGATGCAGATTTGTTAAACACAACACTGAAGACCACTAGTTATGGTCACCCGAACCCTTGCTATATCAAGAAAAATGGCACTTCATGTGAATGTAAACCATGTATAAAGACAATGGGGAAATAACTTCACGTATGAGATGCCAAATATGGAGAGTTTTTCATGTTTACTGAACTTGGGCTGATCTTTTCAAAGTAAAATTCAATGCAGCCCACTTTAACTTCTCCGATTTTGTGCTTCCATGCATCCTTGAAACTGGCGAAAATTGTGAGCTAGCCCTTTTAACACAACAGTGTAAAGAAGTTATTTGTGACTTTGTGTAGCATGTCTTTTTTTTCATTCGAGACTCTCCTCCTCATCCCCTGCAGATGGGTCTGCCATAAGTTTTTAAATCCTTCAAAAATCGTCGATACCCTTGAACTGAAAAGTTTGTGCATAACCCTTGGCTCTCTCAAATTTGGGCAACTCTTATCCAGCCCCCCATCTCCAGAAAACCACTCATTGGTGCATATGCTGCAGCCAATGAGTACATTGCAACATCTTGTTGCAATGACAGGGGGAGTCATTGGTGCCCTAAGACATATTTTGCACTTAAACGCATCAGAAACTAACTTAATTAAACAGGGGGGTAGAGGTAGAAACTTGTTGACCACTATCAGCTCTTGTAGCATAGTTTTACATTCATCCAAAGTGGAACTGTTGTTTTGTAGCTCTTCCCTCAGCATACTGGTTTCTTCCTTTATCTCTTTCACTTCTTGTTTAACAAATTTGTCAGCTTTTTTCTTTTTAGGAGCACACTTCTCTCTTCCAAATTCTTCTTCAGAGCTAGGTTCACTCTCATGGTATCTCTTTGATGCTTTTACTTTCGCAGTTTCTTTGTCTTTTATGGCAAAAACTCTTCTACTTGGACACTTCCAGAATTTTGATCCTGTTTTAAAATGAAAAAATTACGTACATAAGTTACATAAACTATTTACACAAGTTACACAATGATGACTTTCAATTGCCGTTAAACGTAAACTTGTCATTGTATTTAATTTTATTATGCCTATTTTGTCAAGTTCATATATTGTTACATTGTTATTTTATAACCTGGTAATCTGAGCCCTCCGATACTGCCCTGAAACTTTATGCATGTCATGATTCTATGTCTTGGTATTTCTGTTAACTTTGTAAATATTTTAGTGTACATGGCTAAACTTTAAGGTTGGCAGTGTTTTAGACCGTTCTCAGGGTGCAACAATGTCCACTTAGGCTGGACAAAGTGTGATCAGATCTACATTTACTAGTCCTTTAAACAAGTTAATCATTAGCAGTTTAAAAAAATGCACCTTTAAAACATTTTAGCTCATAAGTCAGTCTTCCTGAAGCAGGTTTGCATAAGTGGAAAACAAAGGAAATTAAAATGTTTTAATGTGTTGTACTGCTGTACAGTCCTGGGACTAACTATCTGCACTCGATTTTGCAGCATTTATTTAAAAAAGGCATCTCAGCAGATACCCAACATTTTTGTTCTAAAGTTAACACTCTAGAAACCAGCTACTGTACCTTCAATTGATGGTATTTACAGTATCTTCCTGACTGTGTGTGTTATGATCAACATTGGAACAAGTCTTATTTCAATCTCAAATAAAAGGTTCAGCCACATAAATTTATCACCAATGAAGCTTTTCTGTTATGTTTTTTCTTATTAATTTTGTGGCAAATTCTTTCACCACAGGTCTTCAACGCAAAATACTCATGTTATAATAAATTAGTAGCAGGGCAGTCAAATTAATGGCCACCAGGTCAGGGATTTATCCTTGCTACTTTCATAAGAACATATATTATTGGATTATCTGCCTGGTAAAAGGCAATGAATCCAACAACTAGGTACTGTATACAGTAATAGTAATTTACTAGTACCTCACAGCCTGGCCTACTAATATGTTGCTGAAAGATAACTTTAATAAACCCCTTACCCCTAGTTCCCTCCTCATCCTGAATGGGAAGACCATTACCAGCTACCAGTACCACGTTACCCCACTTCTCTTGCACTTTTCTTGTTATGTCTTCCACATTGGCACTGTCTTCACTAACATTTATGTATGTCTGATTTAACTCAGTGAAACTCTTGCCATTCTTTTTCGCAAGGATAATCTTGCAACCAAAAGTTGATGCTGAATTTGATTTTCCTCTCCTGAAGAAAGGCTTGAATGGTAATCTTGATTTGCCTGTGTCTGCAGGTGCTGCATAAGACAGGCAATTTCCAGTTTCTGATGTTATGACACTGTTTTTACTTTGCCCCATCACCACTAAGCAAGTCCCATCTGCAAGGTTTGACAGATTGAAACGACCACTTTCGTTTGCCCAATATGTGCAATCCCCCCATTCTTCCTTTATGTAAAGAGAACTGGGGGACACCTAAGGAGATTAAAATATTATTGTTAAAAAAAATCAATCCTTGTGGTCGTCTTTAAAGTTATTCCATTAAGGAATATCTATTTGAGACACTAAAAGTACCTATTTACCAAATATTTTGCCTGCTCTCTGTTAACGATATTACCATCAATTTTATCATTATTAAATGTTATATAAAAATGAGGGAGCACCTATGTAGTGTATACTGAGTTAAAGTCCAAGTGTTGGAAAGTTAATCATGTTTAAATAGTGTTTCCTTGTTTATACTATAATTATGAAAATACATGTATGACTATTGTGACTTTGCTCAACAGAACTATAAGAGCAACAAACATTCGTTAATCATGCAGCTTATGTTAACAACATGTGAATGTAATAAAAATTTTCTTTAGAAATAAAATTAATGTTGTGAACAAAATCAGTTTGAACCCACTTGCACTCAAAAATTTGATCACCCAGAAAATCTCTGGATATCTAAAATCTGGAGACTCTCTCTTTTTTACTACCCCCTCCCGAATTTCAACGGACCCCTCCAACAAATTGAACCAGCCCCCAATGTGAATGGCTTAGGACAATCTAACATAAAGTAAATACTATCAAAATTCGGGATAATCGATTTTTATGCCAAATTATAAATCTTTGTCAGTGACTATATATAGTGGAAAAATGCACCAGAAACCGTACTACGGGTTAAAAAAATTCAAATTTTGAGTAAAAAATTTTCCAAATATCACACTAAAGCGCAGAAAAGCTAACAGGACGATTTCAGTCACTCATTCGGGAGATTTAGTGTCCCTGAATTACCCTTGAACATGTTTTCTAACATAAAGTCATAGTACGTGCTTATTAGTTATGGTTCCCTTATCAGACATATCACGAAATGACAAAAGCCGTCTAATAAATCATCATTCACAAAAAAACGGTTTTACTATAATGGATCAGCAAATACTGGCAAATTTTCTTTTGGAACAGCAAACGCGCGCACGTGGTCAGAGAAGACTTCAGCGACAAATGCACCCGGGGGGGGGTACTTTAGAAATTTCTGGGTGGGGATGTGCCGCTGGTACCCTGGAACCCTTAACCTATACCAGAGCTAGTTCAGCTGAATTTTGCCACCCTATACTAGAGTAAACTCCCCAAATCCCCCCTATCCTAGAGTAGCTGTTTTCCATAAACTACTGAGGTCACTAGCATAGTCTAGCCAAAACAAGCTGAGTTGTGTAAATTTCAAATTTCAAATTTGATTTTTTTATATGTTTGAGTGGCAATTCCCCGTTTCCCTACTCCAGATAAAATCTTCAACCAACTGATCAGTTTCCTGAAAAATGATACCCTATTCTAGACCCAAACACTCTGATTTATATACCCTATCCCAGAGTAAACTGCTTGAAAACCATACCCTTCACAGCGGCACATACCTATATAGCCCATATATGGCAGTGCCCCCCCCGGGCAAATGCAAGCCGCTTTGAGCGAATTTCATGGGCAGTTTGATGAACAGGTTCTGATTGAGAGTTTGAGTGGATCACACTACCAGTAGTTACTCAAAACAGCAAAACATAAGCCGAAGCATACGTGAGGTTTAGAAGTGCCCAAAAGAGCGGTTCCAAATTAGGCTTGTGATAATCACTTGTGAACGGTAGGACTCTGCTGAGGTCACAAAGTAGGCAAAGGTGTTGAAAAGTGGGGGCAGAAGAGTGACACTCACCTCAAATGCGGTAGCTAGTCTGGATAATGTAATATCCGAACTGGAAAATGTAAGTCTTAAATCATTCCCCTCTCTGCTGAGCTCGTACTTTCTCGCCATCATGAAATCGAACGGTAGAACTGCGAACTCTGGTAGCGTACGTCACATATATACCCATCTATGATTGGGTAATAACGTGCTTGGCGGGAAAGGCGACCAATGTGATCCTCGGCAGTCTCCTTGGCAAGAGAAACAAATAAAGTAAAGCGTTACATATTGGCGCTAAATCTGCAATGCACGAGAGTTCCGAGCCTTGACAACAACGGTATTTCGTGATGGAAAAAATTGATCCGGAATGGATTAGAGAACAGGTCGTGATAGGGAGAAAAACCCATCGTGAGATCAGTGAGGCTCTGAAGGTTCGTCTCGGAATCAATCGTGGCCTGAGTGAACGTTCGGTCAGACGATTTTGCGAGAATTATGGCATCCACTACAGGTCAGGTCTGGATAGCACAGCTTTGGCATCAGCAACGGTTGGAGCTATACAGAAGGTTAGATGTAAAGATTAGATATCATATGTATTAGAATGTGTTAAGCGCAAATGTACGTAGCTCATATCCCTGGGAGAATGGGCGACTGGGGTAACATAGAAACGGCAATACACTTTCTTTCTGTAAGAATATATTTTATAAGAATATCGAGGCTAAAATTTGCAAAATTTTAAGAATATTTTAAGAATAAAACCGAAGCTGAGATTCAAAAAGGATAATTATTTTGAGTCATGAAAACCTAAGAAATATGTTTTAAAATTAACCGTATCAAATTATTGCTTTCTCGCACCCGAAGGGTTCATTTCTTGCTGGCACCTTTGAAAAATCTGTCTGAAGTTTCAAAATTTTGTCACCTTCATTTTAGAAGAAGAAAAAAAAATTCCGAATTAGAAAAAAAAGGAACACCCCTTGTGTTAACTTAACTGAGAAATTTTAAAAATATTTATCCCCTTGCCCCAGGGGTAGTACCCAGGGACAACCAAGGGAGTACGTTGAGATGGGCTATGCAATATAACTTGACATTACAAATAATTTACCTCATGATGCTTTATAAGTACTGGTAGTTTCAGCTTAACCCACTACAATTATTCCGCAAATTTCCTCTTTACTTATTATTAAGTTTATCAATGTCAATTTTCTTTTTTTGGCAACAGAACAAGAACATCACTATTACATGTAATATTTAGACTGTAATGAACATGCATGCAAAAATTTACTTTGCTTGGCACTATTTCTTGACAATGTTTTAGTGATACCACATGAGAAAGAGCAAGATTTCATGAAGAATGATAAGGATCGTGGTAAAAAAAAAAAATAAAACAATCGAATTTCACCGCACCTTTCCTTCCAACTTGACACTGTTGTTAATTTGCCCCTCCCCTACAGAAAAAAAGAACCAGCTGAGTCATCTCTCTTTCTTAAGGTGCTGTTTTCTGATCATTTATTGATGACTTTTTTAGTTAAGAAAATATATTGCTTCTCCAAGCCTAAAATAAATGATTAAAATGTACGTGTAACCGAACTAACATAACCTGACCCAGGGTAATTATTTGTCTAGTTAAATTCCAGAAATTCGTAAATTTGCTCCACCCATTTTACAATCCCCCTGGTTTGCCTTGATACCTACCCCTGGAGCAAGCCAATGACATGTGCACAAGGGTTACGCAATATCTGTTGTACAATGTATCCCTGAAACTTTTAGTAGTTGAAAAAAAATCAGTGGATCAATGATTTTAGTCAAAGTTTGTTTAAATGCTAAATTTGATATCATTGACAGGTTGGTCCTACTTGGGGACGCAAAATGCTCAAAGGTTACTTCCGGAAACAGGGAGTTAATATTTGCAGCAAGCGTATTGGTGCCTCTCTAGCATCTGTTGCCCCAGTTTACCACCAGCAAAGGTTAACAAGGACTGAACGTGCAACAAACCCTTTGCCATACTATGCACAATACTTTGGGCACAAAATCCACATGGACCAGAATGAAAAAATTGCCATGTATGGGGTGACTCATGTGTGTGCTACTGATGGGTATAGTGGAAGAGTCGTAAGCCATGCCCTTATGCCAGTGAAGAATAACCTCCTCATTTATGAACACGTGTTTAGGTGAGTGACCATATGCAAGATGCAACAATGAATTCCTTGGTTAGCAAAAAGAGACTTATCCCATTACACAGATATACTAATAACTGTCATGGAAGGAGCCTTTAAGGACCTGACAGGGTATTTGTGGGGGCCTAAGGGACTAGCACACTATGAAGGGGGAATAGGATGTAGACAACAACCATGTTGCCTGGTCCTCTGTGCAAATGCTGTATATGGGCATGGTACTTTGCTCCCAGATTTGTGAGTTCAGGAGTCTTTATTTGACAATGTCCTGAACAGTTACATTTTTGTCATCCAAAGCCTCTGGTTACAACTGAAGAGCCCTGCCTACATCATCAACACAACATGTAAAGTACAGTACATTAGATCTACCTGTGCATGGAAATTGCAAGAATAAGTTAGCTACATCAATTGGGCTTTCAGTATAGCAAGATTCTTATTCAAATATTTTCCCAGTGCTGGGGCCAAGGACTTCCTTATACTATTACAACTTCGTGCTTAAAATGGAGGTTCCACTGTGTAGCCTTGTGGTGTAATTTGGCTAGTTTATTGGATTAGAGATACTAAACAAGTAAGCCTCAGGCCATGAATTTTACTTATTACTTTTTTTTATAAAACTAAATAGCATTTCCATTCCCCACTAATAACTCATGAAGCTATTTGATTTACAGGCCTGCGGTATTGCTTCATGGTGTGTGGGATCAGGTACGAGTAGACATGGGTGCTGAATTCTATTTGACCTTATTTGTTCAAGACATTCTATCTCCACACAGACAAAACACTTCTCGTGCACCATATGTACAGACCAACTCAAAACAGGTAAATTGTTGTTTAGTTAATTAAACAGCCTTAAATGTTACATTTGGTAATTTGGTCGTATTTTACATTAAATAACAGTGGTCATCTTAAACCTACAGCTACAAATGGAAAGTTGATAAGCATAGAATACAATAATACTTTTGAGATTTTCTTTTAAAGAGTGATTTAAAATGTGCAACATTTGTAACATTAATAATTAATTAATTAATTAATTTCTTTCTTTATCCTTAAGAATCACACAGCTGAAAGAATTTGGGTTGAAATGAATGCTCGAGTCAATTACCCAGTGAAACGAATTTTGAATGCCTTGGTTAATGATGAAAACATTAATATAGATGATGAGGCCACTAAGTTCTGTGTGTCCTGGGTCACTTCAAGAGTATGCCAAGTTGGAAGTCAACAAGTTATTGATGCATGGAACAACCATCCAATTCCAGGTAAACCAGACTCTCTATACAGTATTAACCAGCCCCTTTTTTTTGGTTCACATATTAAAACTGTTGTTTCCTCTCTTTTCCTATTACACTGCATTTTTGAATATAAACGATGCTTTCAACAGAGTTCATACATATAACCTTTGCACAATGTACTTTATTTTTCTGTGTATGTATATTTCTGTGATGAAGGAAACGAGTCCCTGTACATAAGAATTTTAGGTCCTTACAGCCACCTTGTGTTGGGATTCACATCTTCTGTCAGTCAATACTTTCACTTCCATTCTGTTTGCAAGTACATGTATGTTAGTTAACTGCTTTTAGACTACCCATGTCTTGATCTTACATACGTATTTCTAGGAAAGGGAGTTCCTGATGAGCTCATGAAAACTAATAAGCAATCTGTGCCAATACCAGAGAGCTATGTCCCATCTACTGAGCAAGCAGTGCAGATGTATGAGCAGAGAGGAAGAAGTTTAACACAGTGGTCAAAATTGGGAAATGACCCTCTGGAAGGAAATGTAGATCTCATGTCCCAACGATGTTATCAGTTCCATGAGCAGTTTCCATCCTTTAACAGTATTTTTCACGAAGCTGTGAATAATAATCAAACTCCCTTCCGCAATGCAGTAACAACTTTCTGTGACATCACATACCAATTAGCCTCATAATTAAACAGTATTAAAATTCAGGTTACCAGAAACTTATCCTGCATAGCACGTTAAGATATGAGTGATTGGTTATAATAATGTCCTGGTTAAAATATCCAAAGGCAAACAACCGTCCATTCCCTTTCAGAAAATGTGGTTGCAAAAAAGAGTGTGCGCAGTAAGAAAACACAGCATTTTCGTGCCACACACAATGCCTGCAAATCCCTTGACAACAAACATTAGGACAGTTGGGGGAAGCAGCTCCTTCTCTGACACCGTTATAAATAGCAAGAAGGGAGCCTCTAAGGGAAGGAGGCACTACATAAGGGAAGTTTAAATTGTTGCTAAAAAAGGTGTGCTGCCAGAACCGAAACAGGTTAGACCCTGTTTACAGTTTAAGACAAGAAAACTAAACTTTAATTAAAAACTCAGGCCAAATATAACAACCTGCTCAACTTTAGGAACATTACAGAGGTTTATATAGATTTTAATATTTGATGATTCCATCTTGTCAGGTGTAGATATACTGGTTTGGTGTGATGCACTAACTTAACACAGTACACCAAAAAATTGTTCCAGTTCTGAGCTAAATAAAGTGAAATAAGATTATTCAACAAATATGTGACTTTTCACTGTTTGATACTTTAATTCCGAGGGGTACTCCTAAGAACTCTTGGTAAGGGTGTGCCACCTGGTTCTCCAAATCCTGACCCTATTTCAGAACAAAAAAATGCCATTTCCCACGCCAACAGACCTGGCCTATATGTCATCGTTATTTAGATAAGAACGCCAACATTAGTTAGATTAGAACGCCCACAAAAAGAGTTTTTAAAATCCGTTTCCACTTCGCATATTATTCTTTCTTATTCATTTGGAATTGAAACTACAAATAAGTTCAAAGAGACCCGTAGCTCTCTCTAAAACTAAACCTGATTCCAGACCAAGAAATCAGTGTATATCTGTTTTCAGACCGAAACTCCTCAACAAACTACGCACTACATGTTCAGGAGAATCCTCCTCAAAGTAATTCTTACACTTGATGGTCTGGAGTCCAGCTGGGTAAGAGTAAGCTTAAATAGCATTCAGAATAACATGTTCATAAAGGCTTAAGTTAACTTAACAAATGGAAATAGGGTAGGCCAGAATCAAACTGTAGGAAAAACACGTACAGTCAACTCTCGCCTTGCGGACACCCCGCTATAACGGACACCCCGTTAATACGGACAGCAGCTAAATCACGAGCAAAAAAATAAGTTACAGATGTTTGACTGAAATAATTTCCCACTATTACGGACTCTCGCTAGTGAGGACCCTAACTCGAGGTCCCTACGGTGTCCGAAATAAAGGGAGTTGACTGTACTCGCTAAACTAAGGTTCAGCCGCCAGTAGTACTCGCCTACTAGACACATTTAAAGACCAGGGCCGGACTGTTCAAAGCTGGGTTAAGATAACCCAGGGTTTAAAAAGTGCAAAATTTGAATTCAAATATGAAAGCTTATAAAGTAAATTCAGT